GTAGGCCTAGTAAATACACAGCTGCAAACATAAAGAGGGCCTACCACATATTTGAAAAGTAACTAAGTAAATACTCAAGTACATTTAAGTACATTTATTCACAGTTAAAGTGAAAGATAATTAAAATGAATGAAGTGATAAGGAAAACATGATAAGGACTGTTTGGTTACCCCTGCTGTGTCCATCTGTTCAGGTGATGTTGAAGCTGCATGAATATACAATTTTGTGTCGGAAAGAAAGATTCAACACTTTAGAAAGATGTGGAAAAATATACTGTATATATACACGTATGTAACAAGCTTTGAAGAAGTTTTTCTATGATTATTACAGATACAATTCTATGTCTTACTGTATATTGGAGGATTTGTATGCAAACTGCATCAGTCGCAGTATGTTGTATAGTATGTAAGTGACATAAACTATGAATTCTTCCTGTTTTGGGCTCTTATTACATGGCCACGGATTTAAGGGTAAATCAAAGTTTAACCATATAGAAATATAATTTAAAGTAGATGAAGTCACAACCAAAAATGAAAAGCAGTGATTGTCACAGCTGTGTCATGTTTTGCCACAAGATGGCAGCAAATATTTGGTGCATTTAACTGAACTGAAAATAAGATGCTTGACATTTCAGAAAATGAGCATCAGGTGTGCACTCAGAATATAATGTACAAATCACACCTATGCCAAGTATCTGGGCCACATTAGCTTGTATAAAGGTAAGTCTATATTGGCAGCAAGAGTCGCTGGCCGTTACCTGTATCCTGTAGCTCCCGGGAAAACATGTAAAACAAATTGTTCTACAGCCCAAATTGATGGAAAAAGAACAAGGACTGTGGCCATAAGATTGCTGGTTTAGCCAGACCGATCAAGAAAATGGTGGCAGGGTAAACATGTCACTTACACAAGCCCGTCTCCTACAAATTACATTCATATGCAACTAAGAGAAAGGTGCTTGCTGGATGCTTGGGTGTGAGCACAAAGCCATTTGCTTGGGACTTTTTATCCTGTCTCATGCTTCAAGTCAATCAAGTCAGAATATTTTCCCTATTCTATAACAAGTGTGAGTTGTCTAAACATAAACATCAAAAATGTGGATATTAGATTTAGAAGTTTTATTGACAAGTAGGTTTACAATACAAGGAATAGTTTGTTTGGTATTTTGGTGTATGGTAAGAATAATATAATTGTAAGATAATCATAAGAACAGTTTCTTTCTGTATACTGTGGCGTGAGGTTTTGGTTAATATTGTTACAATATGAACATTTTATCATTATATTGATCCAAATGTAACTTGGGCCAGACAAGAGGTTATGCAGCACATATGCACACAGAAAAATCACACATGAAATTCAGGTTTTCAGTTTAAACCTTCAAAGTGAATTCACCTACAGGAGTATGTGGTTTTGGAACATTTCACATGTGAAATAACATTTTATACATCAAATGTAAAATTTTACATGTGAAATGTCTGGAAACCTCACATGAACCTCGCAGAAATGCAATTTACAGGTAATAATCCACATATACATAAACAGTGTGCCTGTATGTTAATTTACAAAGTGAAATGTCTGAAAAGCACGTGCCTATGAATTTTCCACACATGAAAAGGGCTCCATAAGTTCTTAACAATCCGTCCTTCGGATGAGACGTTAAACCGAGGTCCTGACTCACTGTGGTCATTAAAGATCCCATGGCACCTGTCGCAAAGAGTAGGGGGTTCCCCGGTGTCATGCCAAAATTCCCAACCTGGCTTTCTCCATCTGGCCATCTAATCATCCCCCATAGTTATTGGCTCAATGTTTCCCTCCCTCTCTGCCTCAAGCTGATGTGTGGAGAGCGTTCTGGCGCTAAATGGCTGCCGTGCATCACCCAGGTGGGTGCTACACATTGGTAGTGGTTGAGGTGAGGCCCCCCACTTCACTGTGAAGCGCTTTGAGTTTCAATGATAAAGCGCTATATAAATGTAATGCATTATTATTATAATAGTGACTATTGGACTTACATTCATCAGGTGGCCGGAAAGGCGACTCCAAATGAATGCTAATGTTGCTCTGCATCTCTAAGGTAATACCATGTCAATTTGTTTTCATTTTGTTGTACTACCCATTGCAGCCTAACTAACATGAACCAACTATCTTTACTGTCATCATTGTGAGCAAGATATATACAGAAACTAACACTATAGTAACTGTTCAAGTAAGGACTAAGCAATCTGGCTGTGGGTTATGTAATTTGATTCCAGCATATGGGTGTTAAAAAGTTTATTAAATAAAGTTCAGCAAATAGTGCAGTTGCCAACTGGAGCTCAACATGGTATGAAAGAATCCAGGAAAGCAAGAACAAAGAGGATCAATTTCCTGTAACTGTGATGAAGCTGTGATATTTGTTGTGTGACTGTTAAAGAGCAGACAGCACATCAGAGGCACAAGATTAAGTGTTCGGTGGACAAGCGCTACTGTGAAAGAAAAAGACTTCAATACATTACATTACATTTACCAGCTTCTAAACAGGGTCGCTACACTTGAGTGAAGCACAAGCAGTGAAATAGCTCTTCTCATAAAATTGGATCATCTTTGAAAAAGATGTGACAACGTTGGGCAGTTTTTGATGTAGCATGCGGTATTTGAATCCCTCTCTTAAGACCAGGCTGCTGCTGCAGCCTCCTCGTAGTTTTTAGCAAGACTTCTCATTATATACAATTGGAAATAGCTCTCCAGATCCTTTACTTAAGTAAAAGTAGAAATACAATTGTCTGAAAATACTCCATTGCAAGTCAAAGTCCTGAAAAAGTGTAACAGAAGTATTATCAGCAAAATGTAATTAAAGTATCAAAAGTAAAAGTACTCATCATGCAGAATATCTCCTTTCACAGTGTCTTGCACATTACAGTATTCTGTTTTTATCACTAACAAATGCATATAATAATATACTAGTAGCTATCATGAGTATGGTGTTTCATTAAATCATATACCGTAAAACTTCTGTTAATAGCCTGGGCTTTTATTTGGTTAAATATCTGAACTCACCCTGCCTACATTTGGGACAGGCGTCAATATGAGGCAGGCATGAATTATACTTTGGCGAACCAAATGATTGAACTGTGGAGAATCTAACCGACCTACCTAATGTGTATCATGTCCATACTGACAAAAGTTTAAACATTTATAGTTGTATGCACAATCTAAGCAGCTTAGTACTAGCTCAAGCAGGTGACCTGGTGGGCTTTAAGAGGTTTTATACATCCATAGAACTTCTATAAAAACCAGATCAGGTGTCTAATTGAAAAATGCGTTTATTTGTCAAAACATGTAGCCACACCTGGCCAGTAAAAGAGACAGACGTCTACTTGGGACTAGGCTTTCAATTTTGCATTAAGCATATCATATGTTTTTTATGTAAAAAGTAACTATAAGAGTCAAATAAATGTAGTGGAGTTAAATGTATGTCACAATTAAACTTAATACAGTACTTTAGTAAATGTGTACTTAGTTATTTTCCACCACTGCCCTCCTCCTATGCATAGCTGCTGGGTAGACAAGCTGATGGTTCATCTGAAGCTGGACAAGCTTTAATACACTTTCAGGGCTTGATTAATAAATCCCATGAAGTATGGCAACCATCCCTGGACTACTGGGATTTATGGACTACTCACAACAGTCATTGTGAGTGCTGGACAGTTCTTCAGGGGACATGGTGGATGATATCCAGGAAACCAGGGGGCTTTGAAATTATATGTAAATGTTGAAAAACCCTGTGACATTTAAATATATAAATTGCTATTTTATTCTCTATGTGGTGAGCATTAAATAAGTAAATCTGCTCACAGACCCTTAAAAGATTTCACACACATTTGTTGTTAGGAGTCTATGCAGAGAGAGTTGGCCAACAGGCTAAAATACTGTTTGCTGTTGTCTGGTAATATGTTGTCATGACCTTGTGTGGGTTGAGAACAATTGTATGGCTGTTAATGTGGAATAATAAGGTAGGCCTAAGAGCAGCTGTTCCACCCTACTACTAGCTGAAGGGAACAGTCATGTCTCAACAAGACATAGCATTTATACAACTCAAAAGGGAAATTATTTCTCAGATCACACATACCAGTGTGCCTACCATAGCATTCAAACTGTGGGGCCACTTAGGAGGGATTTTAGGGTGACAACTGGAAACATTTGAGGTTAATTATTCTATACATCTGAATGAAACTAACAAATATCTGTACTGTAAATTTATATCATACAGTTGAAGCAGGTAATAACCAGCCCAAACGACCCCTCCTTTCTCTCTCTCCCACCCACTGTTGTTGACTCTCCGGGTTGGTTACGTAACACATTGGTGCCTTGCGCACGTGGCCACAGTCATAATAAATAGCCAACATTTTAACGCATTAACCGTTACCATCGACCCAGTGATCACACCGTCCACACGCGACCCACAATTTTACTTTTGAGGCGTATAAAAACTAATTCTGGTCATATAACCGATCCCCCCCTTTTACAAACACACACCAAAAACACAGATTCCTCTGCTCAGCACGGGTCCTTTCGGTCTTAACCATAACAATAATCCACAATGAAAGCACACTGTGGGCAGGGCAGCGCACAGGACAATGTGTTTGTTCTTAATTAGATGTGAAGGTACATTCAGTTCCTGTACTGTTGTGTCATCTTTGCTCAGGGTAAAAAATACATGAAGTGGTCTTTCTTTTATTTCTAGGCTCCGAGGGGCTGTCTGAGAGAAGGAAAATCACATGAATCTACGCGCGCCATGTAAAGCAAAGTTCGGGTTTGGACACTGGGAATACCCACACATTCCTGCTTTTTAAAGAAAACGTTAGATAAGGTGACCACTCGGATAGTCTAGAATAATCCAATCAGATTTAAGCTAAATGCGCCCCGGTCAAACACAGCCTTAAGACTTGTAGCCAATTTGTTCATTAAGCAATATCAACACACATCTCTCCCCTCTCTCCTTTCCTGTCTCACGCTATCCACCCCCTCCCCCCTTTCATCACATAGGCTAGCTGTCATCCTGAGCACTGTAGAGACGACCGCTCAGTCGCTAAACGCTCGGATGACGAGAGCAGCAGGCGACATTCAGGTCATCATGGTCGCATGAGTCGGGGGCAACCATTCCGAGGGGACGACAGCCACTGCTGGAATCCGTGACATTTTCGACGCAGCCCACGGAGGACGGTTCTGGGAGAGTACAGGCAGAGACACAGAGGCGTGGACGCGGAGAAGAACGGCACATTCCCCCCTAGTGTTGTCCTGTTTCGTTGGTATGTAACGTTACATCTTGTCTGACAACAGCACCAAAAAAACACCGCTGCCCTTGTGTGTTTTTACCCCTTCGACTGGGTTTCTGTCTTGTTTAGCCACTTTCCTCGCGCATTTCTTTGTGGTGAGTCTGTGCGGACTGGCTTCTGAGGAGGAGGAACGGGGCCTGGTAAGCGTGAACCACAGCGTAAAAACCGAAATGTCTGCATTTAAATCAGCTGCTGCAGCTCACAGCCACGCAGTATTTTGATTTGTATCCGTGTAGCGTTGACAGGGATACCTGTGAATGTCGCATTTCTCCACATGTGACTACATTTTGTTTTAGCGTGCTCGTCATGTTTGCCACTGGTCGCGCACTACTAAAACAGTGAATGGAGCCGCCACACGTGTGACTCCACATCGACGGAGTATCTCAATAGCAGCAGTTCAGAGACTGATGGCCTGTCCACCGGTCTGAACCAGTGTGGGAAGGTGGACAAGCCAAGCAAAGGCGAGCACTTGGCCCACAGCGCTGCTGTAAACGACCGTCTAATCACTTGGCTGTTAATCACGCGAGTTCATTACACTCTGTTTAGCTTTTCTTGAACGAACGGACACTGTTTGAAGGGTCGACAACTGGGCATGCGCACCATTGCCACTACCGCTCCATTGCCCAATAACAATAAGAAGTTGGGACTGGCCTAATCCAAAGATATCAGAAGTGCCTCACTTTGCTTAAAGATTGTATTGTCAATGTGCAAGTGTGTCGACTTTGATTTTTAACTGTGAGTGGTGTAGTTGTAGCCAGTCAGATGGCACAGGCAAGTAAACCTGATATGTTCATCTACAGATGTGTATCTGTAATGGCAAGCCATACAACATGTCCCTGTTGCTGAAGCCCCGGCTTGTTCAGGGCGGGTCTCTTCCTTTGTCACTATAATCTATTTGACAGCAAGAATAATCACTGGAAACACAACTTATTTTCAGTATAACAGGAATTACAGGAGCACTCTGAAAAATAAGTATAAAGATCTCTAGAAATACTGCGCTGTTATTACAAGTAACAGTAGTGAAAATGTTACTTAAAACTGGAGTGCAGCACTTTTCCATATAAATGAACGGCTGTTACATTCAAGCCCCTGCTAAAAGAGTTCACACAATGCTGATTAAACTATCACCGCCAAATAAATCTCTCTGGATGAGCAGTGTACCAGAGTTTTTAAATCTGGTGTCTGTGGCGATATTCCCACGCTGGCGCACCGGCAGGGATGTGTTTTAGGTCAAACGGCATTGATTGGTAGAGACTGGTGGCGAAATTCACGAACCGCTATGGCTGTTCAAAAAGAACTGTGAGAAAAAAGGTCCTTTGGAGAGAGTGTTTGTTAATGAGTATTGTTCATTGTGTTTATTTGTGATGATTGTGTAGATTGTGTTAATATGCTTTAAAAATGTCGCACCATAGCAATGGAGTAGGCAACTAGGAGTATGCCAGAGCTTAAGGCGGAGGACAAACACGGATAACCATTGGTGTAGCTTTTCCTTGTTGGAGAGCGCTGGGAGAAGAGAAAGGAGGGAGGGCAGACAAGCATGTATTATTGCTCTTGGATAAGTATTTGTAAATTATTTGGAGTAGGCTATCTAGCTATTACATTTACACTATCTAAATAATAGATTATTGTCCTGGTACTGGGGAAATGTCTCAGCAGCATTTTACTATTTGTAGCCAAGCGGGAAACCTGTGGGTTTGAACAGTGAAGCCAATGCGGAAGTGCCTTTAAACTTGCATTCTTGCTAGTAGCCAGCAGGAGGTCACTCTAGGGGTTGCAAAAGAAGTTAGATTATATACAAGACAAAATGACCCTACTTTTCACTTGATTTATTACCTCCAGTAAACACTTTCCTGATGAGTTTATGGTCTCGCTCGCTAGTTTCAAGACTTATTCAGTACAGCATGATGATCATTTTGTAAATTATGGTCCCATTTAGAGGACTGTAACGCATGCTTTAGGTATAGCTAAGTTACCTAGCTAGTAGCAACCAAGCAATGAACGTTAGCTAGGATTACCGCGTTAACATGTTGGTGACGTATATTGTGCGAGATGAGAGATGTAGCTCATTGAACAGTTTTCACACAAAACTAAATGTTACTTTAATATTTTACGACAACCTGCAACTTTCTTCATGGACAAAATGATCTTTTAAATTGACAAATATCATATGTGTAATTAAGTGCAACAATTCAAACAGAATTTTAAAAAATAATCTCTTGCCTTTGACTACCATAGATATTTTTCCCAAAATAAGGTCCTGTGGGGCGGAAGCAGAAGCGCTTCTGGTTCCAAAAAAAACAAAACAAGGCAGTGATGGCCAAAATGCCAGACTTGAGGCATGGGTGACGTCCACTCCAGTCTATAGTTATAGCGGGTGGAGCTATTTTTAATTGCTTACTGCTAATAATAATATAATTTGTAAAGTAACTAAAGCTATCAAATGCATTTTGTACAGTATTTCCCTCTAACATATGGTGGAGTAGAGGTATAAAGAAGGATAAAATGTCAATACTCAAGTACAAGTACCTCAAATTGATACAGTAATTGATTAAATGTACTTGGTAACCTTTCACTACTGTAATGCATACCCTAAAAAAATTGCCCTTCTGAAACACTCAACACTCTGAAAACAACAAAAAAAGAGATTATTTACATTTAATATTTATTTAATGGCCATTGTTATGGATGGTATTGCCATGTGTTCCGATCATTTAAACTAGAATATGTCAAATTCAATCTTAAGTTATTATTTGCATTAAACATAGCCCCCACTAAAGATATCTTATCCTATGGCCCACACCGGCAGTGGAAGTACATAGCATTCAAGCGGCCAGAATGGGGTTTGTGAGTTGATGATTAATCTGAATATAATGATAAGAGAGTGAGAAAGAAGGATGCTGCAGTATCTCACTTCCTCACATGTTTTCTTTTAGTTGTTTTCTCTCAAAAATGCTTTGCTTTTAAGAAAGTGTAACATCAGTGCTTTTACACTGCAGGGGCTTATAAATGGAAGAACCAAACGGTGTTTGCTGTATCTTGTTGAGCCATAAATGTAACAGGACAGATATGAAAGCGTATTATGAGATATGCAGATTAATAACTTCCCTGTTTATACACACCTTTATGTGAACACCTGAGTGCACTGCCTAGGGGGTTTGTTGACCACCTTCTATGATAAGGATCTTTTCACCAGTTTTTCCCATCACTACATTGTTTAAAAGTATAGCCATCTATTAATAGTATCTATGAAGTAGCACAGTAATGTTTATACCTTGATACACTATTTGTAGAACTCTTGAAAAGTAACCAGCCTGTAATTGCCTAGAAATGGCCTCTAAGCATGCAGGGATTTATATAAATTTGAAAGTTCTTGTACCCAAACAGTTTAATCTCCTGTTGTGCATTTGAAGCTGTCTGATTTGCTAAGGGAACCGGCTTTCTCAGAGACATTTCAGTTAAACTTCTGTGTTGAACTTCAGCAAGTCTGGCCGAGGTGACGCTGTCTCATCAGACAGCTTTGGCAAAACAGATATTACTATTGTTGCCCTCCTTTTGACTGTGCCTTCATTAAATTTTTAAGTCACCTTCTTGTGGAATTAAGATGGGTTCACAGAAACCTTAGGGACAGAATCAGTTTAGATTTTGACTGTACTTTGACCTGCCCTTTTGTCAGTGTAATCCTTTTGGGGGGAAAAAAAAAACAGTCAAGGCAGAGTGATTCACACTAAATTGCCTGGGTGCAGCCACAGCTTAGACCACAATGTCCATAGAGTCTCTCTTTTATGCTAACCTGTAAATCCAAATGCTTCATAACAGACACATAGCAATGCACATTTAAACAGCACTTAAATCAGGCAGCTTAACTTTGTGTTTTTAAAGTTCTGTGATGAAGCTGGCTGTCAGTGGAGGAGGTGAAGGAGGAGCTGTTCACATGCACTGAAGAAGTATGCGTACATTGTGTAATGTTTTCACATGCAACAAAATTCTGAGAGAGCAGAGTCAGACCAGTTTTCACAGAGGTGTTTTCTCAGCACAAGTGCACTGGCAGTTTACAGTTTCTAAGAACGTTCTATCATCTATGACTCAACCTTTTTTTCTAGGTCAATGTTAAATTCACCTTAGGCATCTCACTCCATGACAATAATGTCTTCCATGAGTGGGCAGGTCAAACCACATTACTTCACAGCCTCCCTCTGTGTGTACCTTTTTTCCTCAAAAGACTTTCTATGCTACTTTTGTCTTTATTAGACAAACCGTAGGACAAGATTGGTCTACATAAGGAGTCGGCAAATAAGTCTGGCATCGGGTCTAATGTTTTTCAGGTCAATAGATGGCAGGCCAGAACATAGTCAATTTATCATTTATAATCCGTCATTTAGCCTACTGTGTGCCTGTTTAGCTCTGTCCAGGGTACCCTCGGGGTCTTAAAAGTATTTAAAAAAAAAAAGTCTTAAATTTCATATTCCAACAATAAGGCCATTATAAGTATTACATTTCATTTACCATGGTCTTAAATTTTTTCTTGTCCTTTCTTTCATAGGATTAAATTAATGCCGTAACATCATAAATAAATACTTTGTGTGTGTGAGACTTCATAATATACTCCGTTTGGTGTGACTCTGATGTTATATGGCAGTACAGGTAACGTTCCTGTTTATGTCAGCTTTACGCTCTGGACTGTGGAATGTTCGCGGTGCAAGAGCTCTGACCGTCCAGCTCTGGAGCGCATCAGTCAGTTGTCAGGAAAGAAAACAAAACTTCTCGGACGTACTACTAACAATCTAAGGCTAGCTCGTCGCCTGAGAATGGGCAAGTGTCTGAAGTTCAGAAAGCCAGTAATATGGACAAGTTGAGGCTGAGGGCAGTGCCGCTGAGGTTAGCGCAACAAGCGGATTGGATTGCAAGCCAGTCACACTTTGGCAAGCGCTAACGGAACAGCGGAGCTGGAAGACCCGCTGCAGGTTGCTGGTCAG